TCTTGGGGCAGTTGAGTACCGTCTCAAGAAAAAAAGCTTTTGCTGGGTGATCAGTTTTTAATACAGAGTAAACTTTTAACAAGCCACTCACAGACATTATTTTATTCATAAATAAGTTACTGTCTTGTCAGACACCATATGGGGTTAATATCTTCCCTTTTTCTGGAAGACAACTGTCAAAAGATTAGCTACAATACATCAAGTATCAACTACTTAGTTATACAATACCAAAAAAAAAGGAGGATGTCAATTTTCCAGTTTTGATAACAAAGATTAATTTATCCAATAATTTAGATTAAGATTTATTTGATAACATTTTTAGATTGAATACTTGGAGCAGTATTATGTTTCTGCTATTTAAATTCATTGGTTTCATGTGACCAAAAAAAAAAACAAACCAAAAAGATATGCCAATTCTTGGCATTAGGTCAAAGATTTTGTAGATTATTAGAAAGAAGTGAAAATTAGGCTATGATGATTAAGGATAAAACAGTCATCTATATTCCTGATGTCTAAAATGTCAATACATTTGAGATTTAAAAGATGCTAAATAGAATTTCTGCCTGCGTGTATAGCTACATATTAGGTAGCATCCTTTGGTAGGGGAATACTAAGTAAGACAGAAAGCACAGTGTCTGAAGTGCACTATCTGAAGTGCAGACAGTTTGGAATAATTATTAACACTCTAAAGTTTGCGTACAATGTGCAAAAAAGTGACACTCGTTGTTTCACAGCTGGAATTTCACTCCCCAAAGGTTTCTAGTATTTTTCCTGCTTTGTTGCAATAATTTTAACAAGTTGTATCACTGGAGGTGCCTACTATGCCAAGGTTTACCTCTTGGCATCTGGCTAACATCTGCTGTTTATTCAGGAAGTTCAAGTAAAATTTTATATGAAGCCACTCTTTCTATTGTTTAAAATATTTAGTATTGATCCATTTCCCACACATGGTTGATTCTGAATTCAGAATGGGACAAAGACGTTGCTCTGAGACGTGAGCCAAGAATAAAGCCATTCATATCAGGAATTTCAATGCAATTTAGTAAATAAAGAGTATTTAACAATCTCCTAAATATTGGCGTCCTTATTGTACATCACAGTGAAAATGATTGTTCTCAACATTCAGTCACATTATTACACCTGCATTTATGACTCTTACAAGTTTTCCTAGTGTATGTGCAGCTGCAGCGTACTCAGGAGATAAGCATGCACTTCTTAAGACAACAACAAATGCAATGAGAAGAAGAAACACATCAGCTATGAGAGAGATAAGGGGGTACTGCTGCTTCACTAGCAAGACAATACAAGTATTTTGTGTTTGTCACCCACTACTGTGTGCATATATGCCACCTGTTGGTGAGGGGATACTGGTACAAGAAAGCCAGGCCAGCAAAAGACAATGAGGGACCAGAGAATCCTTGAAGGAGAAACTAAAGCAAATTCCACAAACCAATGCAAAAACTCCACCACAAATAGCAATATGCTCTTCACACTGCTGCAGCAATGAGTATGTCAAGCATCAAATAAAGTAGGATACCTGTCATGCATGAGTAATGCCTGCTGATGAATTTAGTAAATATTTAATCTTAAAATACTACAATATGGAAACATATTATTATGGTATTATGAGCAAAAAAATAAAAACACTGAGCAGATAAAACCTTTAAAAATCACTAACAAAACCCAATCTTCAAAGTGTTTTGTTATCTAAGTGTGCTATCAGAGATGTCAAAATAATGTCAGAAAGAGGAAGGTGATTGACAGAATATGTCAGTCTGAGAAAGCTACTTCAGACCGTACAGCACATACTCAGGGTTGGGGAAGACTATAAGAGAGACAGGAGCAAAAATTTCCTGTATCCATGCAACCATTATTATACCATTCACATGTACTATCCATTGCCACATCATGATTAACAGACCAGCGCATTAAGGAAAAAGTTGCAATCAGGTTACATGAAGAGGACTGAATATCTCTGCTGATTACAAATGACAGCTGATTTTTTCAGTCAGGTCTGCACTTAGAAAATGCACTGTCTCGGAAGATGGATAAGCTCTCCTTGGAAGTAGGAAGGCCAAACTCAGTGCCAATTTCTTCCCATCCCATATGCAAGGAGATCAACACAGTCCTAGTTTAATTAAGAACAGTCCTAGTTTAATTAAGAGTTTACCGTGATCCATCACCGCAAGGATCTACAATGTGATATTATAAACATTCTTCAAAACCAGATAAGCAAAGACCTACGTATATGTTTTAAACTCCCTACTAAGTCAAAAGGTGCCCACCAAGTATTACACAGCACCATGAAACAAACCACACCCCTGCAGGTAGGGAGACATCCATACACTGATGCTGGCTTTGAAATGAAAGATTTCTGCTGTAAAAAGAAGAGCTAATACAGAAATGTCACACAAAACACATTTCAAGCACTACAAGTCTCAAGTACTCTTGTGCACTCGAGATCCACATTCAACTGTATTTCCACTAAGCACCATCAACGTTCCTAATAAACTAGCGCTGCCCCAGTATATTAGATACTCATAAGTAAGTAAACAAAGATTAATTTCAAGCAGATCATTTCAGAATTCTCTTTCACTGAAACCGTTATGGTTCTGAATTTGTGGAAATCCTTGATTATCAGCTTCACTTCTCCAGCTTGGACTCTGCTTTTGGTGTACCTTCTGAAAAACAACTTTTTTGTTCCCTTTTTCCTCCCTCTTTGAATGTATTGTTTTCATCACTCTGAGCCCTCTTCTTCTTTGCTCCAGCAACACTCCAACACAAGGAAAGACTACCTTGGTCAACGAATCCTGTCTGTTTTCTGCAAGAGACACTAAGTCTGGCAGGGTTTCCAGAAGAGCTATTTAACCACAGACCATAAAATACGTCTGCTCCCCACACCCTTCAGTCCACTGCAAACTTAAAAGCCAGTAGTGAACTCCTGCAGCCATAGCTAAAATATCCCAGAGGAAAAAAGCGGGAGATAATAAAGACAGTCCTTGACATCTTCAATTCCCCGCTACTGCAGGAACATAATTAGATTCAACTTTCAAATGTTCCTAGATAACAGACCTTGTCCATGTTACAGGAAACATCCAGTCTTTGCCATTCTTGTATGAGGGAAAATTCCCTCTTGACCTCAAGTCTGGCCATGGCTTGAACACCAAGAGCATGAGCATGTCCCTGACATTTTTAACCAAGAGGTTTTTAAACTCCTAAGAGCTAGGCCAGACTTGGAATTGTAACAGTTTTTGCTGTTCTCCACTGACACAACTGACTCCACCATAGCCTAAGTCAAGAAAGTTTGTAGAGTTTTTTCTAATTTCACATCAAGCAAATAGCTTTTAAAGAACTTCTCACAACCCATTTTTATTTTTACATTATCATACTAAACAATGAATTTATACTCCAAACCAGATGGAAAAAGAATTCCACCAACTACTTAACAAAGCCACCCTTTAACATCAGTGTCCAATCAACTGGTACTTTAGAAGCTTCATAACCAAAATATGATGTGAAACCCACCAACCAATGCATCTAATATCAAATACACAATGCTTTCCTGTTACTGTGTTAACCATATTAGGAGACACATCAACATTTTAGTGGAGGCCACATTATGTAATAAATGACATGCTGTGCTTTGATGCATATCAAAAAGTACAATTTTGAGAACTGAATTAAAAATGCAATGCACAGCTCTGTGGAACTGGCCAATTCCTAGACATTGAGCTGCCAGGCTATGTTCAAGGAATTTATTACAACTTTCATATTCTGTAAAGAAGTTTAAATACATAGGCTTGGGTGGAGGGGTTGTACTGAAAGTTTGTTATTTCAAAGTAAATTGTTCTCCAATTGCTCATCACTATACATCAATATAATGCTATAAACCATCATTTTTCATGGTATAATGATGATGATAATAGATTTTAAATTCTTTGACTAAGCCACTTGAATAATGACAAAAAGATCAGACCTTTCCAAACACAAAAATACAATGAATCAACATCTGTCATCTACAGAAATGGCATAAACGTCACTTAATGTGATCACTTAAAACACATCCATCATTCATCTGATGTGATCACTTAAAACACATCCATCATTCATCTGTAAATCCATTTCATCATATCTAATCCAAAACTCTGCAAGTATTAACAGTCAGCCACAGAAAAAAACAGAGTATTTTAGCAACAATCTGTCACATGACAAATGCTAGTATTTACAGCTTGGCTGGAAATTAAGCCCAGAATTTCTTTTGGATTAAAATTTAAACTTATCTTTCAATTTATGAAATTCAAAAATAGTATATTCTTGTTGATTTAACTAACATGTACATAACAGAACTCAATCTTAAGATGGGAAGAAGTATAAGTGACTGACTTACCTTGTATTTTTTAATTTCTGTTGATAAATCTTTTCTTCCAAGAGCAGCCCTTCCAGAAAACTACAAGAATGAGACAGCCTTTTCTGACACATTTACTAGGACACTAACATCATTTTGACAACAAGTTGGTATTCTGAGCTGAATAACAAAATCTGTATGACAAAAATTTAACAAATTCATCTTGAAGGAAAGCAGCATTCTTGGAACTAGAAAATAAAACTTAAGTCTCTCTAATATGGGATAAATACTTGATATATTTAACGAAGAAAAGATCATTAACATCAACACATTGCTATTTTAGAAAGACTACTCACAAAATGGTCATTAAAATAATTTTCTTAACAAAAAGTGATAAGTACATGTAATAAAACAGAAACAAGCAATTTTTCAGCACTGAATCTATTATTATTTTAGTTAAAAAAAAGATGGTCTTCATCTGAATACTCTTCTATGGGTTTAAGTTCCCTAAAGGCAGGCACCGTCACCATTAAAAAAAATATTTTCCCTATATTAATCCAACAAAAAAAATAAAATTACAGAAAACATGAAGGTCATATCTGTAGAACTGCAAGGGAATGCATATGCCTTGGAAACCACTTGAGTGAAAGGATACAAGTTTTGGTATAATGGGATTAATGATTTCAATGCACGGCTTGCATTTATAGCTGTTGCACGAACCATAATAGGTAGAATTTTTCCATTCACAATAGCACCATCAAAGAGTGGACCAAAAAACGGAACCTGAATAAAAAATTTAGAAGTTCAACATAAAGCAAGATCTTAGCTGTAACAATTAGCAATCAACATTAACAATAGAGCACTCAAATATATCTCTTTTTCCCTCCTCATTTCTAGATTATCAAAGCAGTCATTATGCTACATGTCAGACCTTTTCTCTTGTGGAAATATACAGCTCGATATCCTTGGCAACAGATAACACAGTATTTGAAGAAAATTAAGCAACTATTTGAATACTATGTCTCATCAAAGATCATTTTCAATATTTGCTGCCAAAATCCTAGTAAGAGTCATGCATATGATGTTTATGAGGTTGAAAGGCTAGCTGACAATACTGTAGGTGGTAGTAAGCAAAAGCAATAATTACTCAAATTTTAAAATAGTATGTATCATGGCTTTAGATATTAACATTTTCATAAGGATCAACTCAATGTGCAACTGTCATACAATTACTAGTGCATTGACCCTTCCCTTCTATTTTCTTTTATTCTATCTGTTCTGCCCTTCTATGTTATCTATACAAATGGACTGTAAGCCCTTTACAGGAGAAATCTGTGGTCAAAGTTTGGCCTCTTTGGACCCTAAGTGTAAAGCCATATTTGTGAGATCAGTAGAAAACCTCAATATTTAGTACAGGTAGCACCCAAGAGGTATACAGAACAGAGAGATCTTATGTTTTGGCATAATTCTCTATTTGGCATGATTTCTCCAATCATCATTGTGCAATTAAAAAAAAACCCAACAAAATAAGCACTCAGTATTAACTATCTGCATTTCCTGTACATTTGAATAAAGATCTGAAGCTAATGACATAAAGCAGGTCAAGAGCAGCAAAATTTGTGCATCAGCTCAGCAAAGGGAGCAGAGCATACAACGACGAAACCAATGCTGCAAAAGAATTTTAGATCCTATATTTTTTTTGCCATCATTTAATGTAGTTCTGAGAATACTGAAATCTGATGGAAGGCACTTCTTTCTTCACATACAAGAACCTTTTTTTGGACTAACAACAATCCCTGTTTTCAACAGTTCTCATTTTCCTTCTTAACCTGCATGCTCCCAATAATCCATCTATTTGTACTTAAAGTAGCAAAAGAAAGAATATCCTTATTAATTAAAAATGTAAGTCGGTAATAACAAAACTGAATATCATTTCATGCATATCAATACATAGAGGTAGTCACCATAAAGAGGTGTTTCTCTCATATACCTCAGTTATTAATATTAGTGCTTCTAGTAATATTTAAAGTATAGAAATTCATGGCAAGTGACATCACACACAGAAGTTAGGTAGTACAAGAACTCATGACTACTTTTACTCAGTCAGTGTTCACTACCCTAAAACACTGTTTTAAGAACAAGGCCAGCACTGACATTTGAGGAACAGTAATTAGAAAGAATGTGTGTTCATATGCCTAAGGGTTGAATGGTCTTGCTTTACTGAATAATCTCCAAATTCTGTCCGGAGTCAAGAAGAAAGTGATAACTAGCTTTGAGAGAAAGAAAGAGGAATAGGACATGGATGGAGGAAGTTGGAGCAGACCATTATTCAGCTACCTCAGTTATGTATCAAATTTGACAAAAAGGTTTGGCAAGTTTATTTTAATATTTATTATGCAGAATATTCTAGCTTTTTTCCCAGATTATGTTGTTAGCAGATATGCTTTACAGGATCAGGCCTTTGCAATTTCAAGTTACTGATTTTACTATGCATTGTACTCACTGAGCTCTCCCTTTTCCTCCTGCCACCACTGCAACTGTCAGTGCTCAAGACATCACTTTGTTGGACCAGTCTATTATACCAAGACTTCAGAATGTAAACAAAACTCACGTCATGTTAAACATATGAAGGGAACAAAAGAAAACAAACCCTTACCTCAGGCTTTTTCATGATCTGGATACTGAACATATGGTTTTTCATGGGATAGATAACTATAAGAACATCACCAAATTCTGTTGGAATTATTCCTCTTCTATAATCTCGAGTGTGCTCTGACCAGACAATGTGTACTTCATCATTTCCTAAATGTCTTAGCTAGAAAATCAGGGATAAAAACCTATCAGTTTAAATATCCTTAATTAATATTCTATAGCCATACAGCTATATAAAATGCACATATTTCAAAAGGACAAACCCACTAAAAACAAATGAAGAAAAATGAGTAAAAAACCCCAAATTACACTATAGTTCTTTTACAAGTGCGAATATTAGTTGACAGTATTGGTTTGTGCTATAGATTTTTCTATACTGGTGTCAATTTCTATTTAAATTAACAGATATGCAAATGTTTTCAACTGAAAGCTAAAATTTTGTTGATATTATCTCAAGGATGTAAAGTGGTTCAACCTGATTTACTAAAATTTGTTCCAGACTGTCATCACTGATAGGTAGCAAATTACTAAATTCTATATGAACGTTTTAAGCATATGAATGAACATCTTTTTAAAAGCTGGGTATTTGAGCACTTAACCTCATAATTCTAGCCAAATTCCAAACTGCCTACCACAAACAAAAATCGTTTAAAGGAGAATAGCTACTGCATTTTCCATAGCCCCCAAATTAACTAAACTAAACGGTCATTTCCCATGAAACCAGTACAACTTTGTAAAAACAGCACCCCACTCCCAAAAAAACCCCTTCAAAATGGCTCTTGATCTGGCTCAGAATGGCCAAATGGGCATTATTTCTGAAAATTCAATCTGGAATCTCTTTTTTATCTCCTAGTGCATCACCAGTTACAGCTGACAATTGTCTTCACCCCCAGTTTTCAGTTCGTTTCCACAGCTTTAGGTAGGAGGAGTTTGTTAATCACCTTGATGTTATTCGAAGGACTGCCCTGTGAACTGTTGTTAACAGGTAACATACAGATACCAATCTGGGCACATACAAAAAGCTATTGTATATAAAAAGGCAACAATTTGCCATACTCATTTTTAGAACACAACTGAACTTCAAATAAAAGTAAAACATATACACAGTCTTCAGAGAAATTTCACTGCAAGTATTCACTTATTTTACAAAACCTCCTGGAATGCTACCTTCATCTTATCTAAAGGCTTGTACCAGTTGTCAGTAGCAGACTTAAAAAAAAAATAAAAAAGAATCTGTCACTTCTCATCTCTTCTAGCTTTAAATTGTATCAGACTGAAAAAAGGGTTGTATTTCTATGAAAAAAGGATTTTCTTCAGTGTTGAACTGGGCAAAGGACAGATGGTATCAATACCCTCCTTCTTTGATGCTCAACAAGTCATTTGTTTTGCCTAGACCAGATCATTCATATGTCTAATCTACAATGGCTGCAGTGCCTTTGAAGTGAGTTGTTCTTTCCTCTTGTGTAGATGGCTGAATTATTTTGAATAACACTTAGTTAGATTAGAATAAAACCAGGCAGCAACCTGAATGACTGGTGTGCAACATGCAAACAGCAGATGCAGAAACCTTGGATAACATGTAACAATAACAAACATCATAAAAGACAACTAATTGCAGAATTGCTCTGAGAGCCTGAACCTCTCCTATCTTAAGAATCACAGAATCATTTAGCTTGGAAAAGATCTCCAAGATCATCAAGTCCAACTATTAACCTAACGTTGCCACGTCCACCACCAAACCATGTCTCTAAACACCGCATCTACAACATTTTTAAATACCTTCAGGAACGGTGACTTCACCACTTCCCTGGGCAGCCTGTTCCAATGCTTGACAATCTTCTCTGTGAAGAAATTTTTCCTAATATCCAATCTAAACCTCCTCTAGCGTAACTTGAAGCCATTTCCTTTAGTTCTGACTCTTGTTCCTTGGGAAAAGAGACTTACCTCCACATTCCACAACCTCCTTTTGGTTACTTGTGGAGAGCAATAAAGTCAATAGGAGTGATAAGAGAGTGATACAAAGCACACTTAGCTGGTTTTTTTCCTGGTGATAGCTTGGAGCACTTCCATACTTGCTAAGATAAACTTCCAAATACACTCCCAAAAAAAAAACCCCAACTCCCAAAATTACCAGAAAAGCAACTTCTCCTTCTAACCCTTCTGTTTCGTAGCAAAACATTAATTAAAGAAACCTTGCACTTTGGCACCAGAATAGACTTTTCCATTGATTTTCATCATGGCAGAATTCTGTTTTTTCAGTTTACACAAGGTTTGGCTTCACTTCATTCTCCTCTAGCATCACTGTCTAATAAACTGCTATCCTTGGCCTCCTCTCTTTGCCACAGTTAGTCATCTTCTCTTCTCCAGGCATACATGAGACCATTTTCAAAATGGATCAAAGACATGATCCAAGCGGGGAAAATAAACCCCAAGTTTTTGTTTTAAACTCAGCTCATGTAACTGTACTGGTCTCAAACATAGTCCAAGAAAAAAACTTGTTGACACCTCTTTTTGAAGGTGCAGGAGCAGAAAGCAGGGTTGTCACCTTCTTAAATGGCTTTATCACCAGAGAAGTCAATGAGAAATTGCACCTCAGATTTAAAAAAAAAAAAAAAAATTAAAAATTCTCATTTTGCTTCCTCAGTGAAGTGACAGTCAAACTAGCTGTTGAAATATGACAATGACAGGCTATCAGGGACTGATGGGTTCACACTTACAAGCCAGTGAAAAGCTCAGGGAGGATGACGCTGCCTAGTGAAAGAGAAAACATGAGGCAAATCAGTTGGGACATGAAATGTTGTGGAATGTAAAAAAACTACATGATCCTAGGTTGAGGGATGGCCATTTGAAGCACTGACTGAACTCACTGAACTGACTGCCAAAAAGCAATACATCCATCACTGCACTGCACCATTCCTAATTCAGCAATATTGAACTATTTACTAAAAGAATTATTTCCTCCTTTACTTAACATCTTTGGACTCGGAGACAAAAAACTCATTGAACTATTAGAAACAAGTGATGGTGACAGTGTACATGCCAAAGAAATAATCAAAACCATACAGAGTTTAGATAGTGCAGCTTCTTGAGGGCATCACTGCCTCTGAACCTTATTTCTCAAATGTTTACCCCCGTGTACCTGTTACTGACACCTGCAACTAATCAGACAGGACACCAGTTCTTGCACTTCCATGAAAGCTATCCAGACAGAGCATTGCTACTGATGCACGCTTTCACATTAGACTAATATAGATTTTGGTGTGATAGAAGTGTACTGTGTGGTTATTTCAGAAGGATTACTGACAAGGGACACATATTTTTGGATATTTGGTACTAAAGCCATTAGTGACTTTTCTCTCCAATTTCAAAGTTTGCTTTATACCCCTATAGATTTATGAGAATACATTCCAGGCTAAAAGAAAATACTTCTTCGGAGAAAAAGGAAAATGAAACAGATTATTTCAAAGAGTTCCAAGTCCTATCAGATGTATTTCACCTCATGATTACTACTGAGAATGATCTGGCAATGATCCAGTTTGACTAAAATGTAGAATGGCATCTCTGTGACATGCAATGGATTGAGAGTCAAAATCAGATGGTGCAAGTAGGTGGATGATAGTATAAACTATGAATGGTGGTTTATAACAAAATGAAAAGTACTCAGGATCAAAACAAAGATCAAAACCTTGTTTCCCTTATGGATGGTCAGATGACTGACAAAAATAATAGAGAAGTAAACAAGGTTAGGTGTTGCTGATTTTATGTCTGAAGAATAACTAACTTCTGGATAAGTCATTCTGTTTCCTTCTTCAAGATTAGATCATAAGAAGCTCTGACACGAACACAGTGCTCCTTGTTGCTTCTGTCAGATGTCTTCACCTTGGTCAGCAAGCAAAGGTTATGAGAAAACTTGAATGGGGGTAACTTGACTCCTCAACAACACTTGATTCATGGAAGAGATCCGACACATGAAATTAACTTGAAAAGCTTTCCAAGGTCTGCTAGGTTTTGCATAAACTTTTTAGAAAGAAGAATTTCAGATTTTCTTCTCAATTGTTCAGTTCCCTATTGAAGGATCTTGTAGTTGAGTAGTGCTCCACAACCAAGTTCTCCCGCAAGCACAACAGACATTTGCAGAATCCATCATTCACCGTGATTATTAAACCACAGGAGAGCCAGAACCTGGCCTCTTTCATCTTTAATTTGGATTCTTTATATCTATGTACTGAATTGGAATCATCCCAGAATTCAGTGTCGTGGACAAAGTGGGACAAAGATACTGAACTGTAACCACCTCTTTTCATTGAAACCCTGAGGACAGACAGAAACATGGTTTCCCAAGGTGTGGTCCCACTGCTACCTAAAAGAATGGGATTTGGTGCACACGGAATGGACAGATGTAAAGACTGTATTCTGTGTTAATACTTACTCAAAACTCACTACCAGTTGTGTGAGCCACTACATCTTCACATTCATTTCCTGACTTCATGTTCCTGAATTTACAACTTCATATGTGCATACCTCACAGTAAGCATAACAAAGTGCAAATCAGTACCAGAAACATAAGGCACAGCAATAATATAAATAATAAAAAGCCCTAAAATAGTGTTATACTTCAAGTAACTAGTAATACATTGTGGCTGAAAACCTGGAATTATAGGTTACACACCAGTATTCTAACACTCTAAACACAGATCAAACTGCCCTGGAGAGTTTATTATCTAAGCATAAGGCAAGACACAAAACAGAGCTGAACAAATGCAAAGAAGCTGTAAAAAGGTGTTAAAGACAAGAAAAAGGTCTTCAGCATTATTCAAGAATGCAATGTCAAGGCCAGAGAAAGGAAGATTCAGGGATCAAAACAACAGTTTATGATATAGTGGATAAATTTTAACTGTGTGTACGAAAAGGCTATGTTGCAAGAAATGGTAGGTAGGAAAAAGAAGAGTCTTAAGCACAGACTGAATGTAAGAATCCAGAAAGTAGACCAAATTAAAGATGATTTCAGGCTATGGGCACAAGTGACAGGCACAATGGTCATGTTATCTGTGGTGATCTGGAAAGGTGGCAATGAGAAAGAGATTAAGAGCTCTGTTTTAGACATTTTAAACCTGTGTTGTCGGGAAGACAGCCCTGAGGAGATACCAGAGACAAACAGATTTT